GCAATCGTGTCATGCTAATTCCTAGGGAGATAGCAACCAGAGTGAGTGAGAGAGAGAGAGGAATCCGTCTTAGGCAAAGGGCTGAAGAGGCTGGGTGGGAACAGCATCTGAGAATAACGGTGTCCCAGTGCTCAGAGTGAAAGGGAAACTTGGAGAATAGGAAAAGATAACAAAGCTGGGAAGCTGTGTAAACTGACCTTGAACTTTGTCCTTAGAGATATGGGGGAGTCATTGAATGGTAGGCAAGGAAGTACAATGATTAATTATAGCTGATTTATACAAATAATCCTGTCCAAATCCTTTATTGTAGATGATATAAAATTAAACCTCAGATTAGCAGAGACAGATTATTACAGAGTCTGAATTTTATACCCAGGTAATTTGGTTTATCACATATTTCCAACTACTTAATTGCAAAAGAGTGTGCTTTAATCCTAGAAATCTTACTGAAAAAATCTTACCTTTTGACCTGAAGTTCATAATTTTTTTCCCCATTTTACAGTCAACAAAGTCATTTGTTCAGGACGAGTTGATTGCATAAACACTTTCCTCCTTTAAGAGCAAAATAGCTTCAACCAATAATTTGTCTAAAACCTTCCTTGTCATTTTGAAACCAAATCATCCCTGAGTTTTTATATGGTATAATTCTTGATTATATTTTGATATTTTTCCCATTTAGTAATCTTGCCTATGTTTTTTTTCTTAAAGGTGATTTCCACATGATTTTATGTTTTATTTCACTTTTTAATCTAGAGCACATTCATAGAGTTAGTGGTTTATAGACTTCATTGAGCCTCAGAAACATTTTGGGAACTTATTTATTTTTAATTCTTTTTTTTTTTAGATGAACAGCATGCCTTTAAGGATCAAACCCAGTACCTCACACATGCTAGGCAAGCATTCTGCCACTGAGCCACAACCCCAGTTCCTGGGAACTTTATTTAAAATGGAGATTCTTCACCTATTCCTTAGCAACTCTGATGTCTGAGTCAAGTGTGTGGCAAGCTTCCAGGTGACTTTAACACAGGTGTTCTGCAAGGACCATACTAAAAAAAACCCAAAAAAACAAAAAACAAAACAAAAACCCTGCCTTAGGAAAAATCTGTTATTCCCCAACCCTGTGATTTCTGCCTGAATATTTTTCAATAGCTTTCGGTGCCTGGGGAGCCCATGTTTTTTAAATTAAAATGTCCATTGGCCTATAGAACATTAGAACATTTTTAAGACCCTAACTGTAAGATTTTCTTAAATACAAAGAATCATAACATAATGTCACAGATGTTGGTAATTAAAACTAACCTTGGCCTTCAGATCTGTCTTTTGTTTGATTTTTACAGTATGTGGGGAAAGATAATTTTATTCTCAATATATCTGAACCTCTTTTATGATTCTCTTGCACAAGTTCTAGCAAAAGGAAATACATATCTCAAAAAGTTTAATGTGAAAATAAAGCAAAAAACCAAAAAAACAAAACGTTTACATTCAGAAGTCCTTGGTTCTAAACTAGTCTCTAATCAACTTGCCAAAAACCCTTGTTCAAGTCACTTTACACCTCCGTGCTCTGGGATTTCTATTTAAATGGAGGAAGTATTTAATCCTGTATATAGTTACAAAGCAAACAGACGTCTTCAGATCAAAGACAAACAAAATTCAAAGAAAGCTTCAGGAGCCCAAAGACACCGGAACACTTAGGAGAGAATTGTGAGGTTTTCCTGCTAGAAAGTGTCCTCTGAAATGAACTTATAGGTTGAGAAATTGCCCTCAGCCTGTGTTTAGGCACAGATGCTAAGGATGGAGTAAGGATTTGTTTTCATTTGATCATTGTTCTAAAGAATGTAAATCTATCACCTGTTCTTTAATGGCCCCATATAACTAACAGTGGACAGAATTAACTCATTCATTTATCCAGATTAGAACCTAAGTCCTTCATTTATTCAATAATTATCTGTTGAGCACTTCCTATTCAAGGCAGAATTCAAAAAAGTATATATATATATATATATACACATATATATATGTATATATATATATGTATATATAATATACATGTTTATATATATATATACATATATATGTATATATATATTCATAACATATATAATTATAGATGGAGCAATTTTATTGGATACCCCCAAAAGTATCAAGAAAGAAAGACCTGTTTCATATTTACTTTTTAATAACAGTATTTCTTTAAATTAAAATTGTCCTTTTTCATGATTTAAATTTTTCTGACTTCAGTCTTTATCTTTAACATAGTCCAATTTGTTTTTCTTTGAAAACAGTTATTAAATCCACAGTCTTAAAATTGATGACACCAGCTGGGCGCTGTGGCACACACCTGTAATCCCAGTGGCTTGGGAGGTTGAGGCAGGAGGATCTCAAGTTCAGAGCCAACCTTAGCTAAGACAAGGCCCAAGGCAACTCAGTGAGACCCTGTCTCTAAATAAAATATAAAATAGGGCTGGGGATGTGGCTCAGTGGTCAAGTGCACCTGAGTTTAATACCTAGTATGCCCCACCACAAAAAAACTTGATGATACCATAATAGAAACACAGAGTTTGAAACTAAATAGCAGAAATTTTAGAAAGGACCTCCAGCCTTTTTATTGGTAATGAAACCAATACGTGTTCTGTGCCCTTATCCAGGCACATCAGAGCCACCTGCTTAACTATGGCTCAAATTCCCAAGCAATGTTGATGCTACAGGTCCAAGATGCATTCTTTGAGTATCTCTGTACTATTACAGTCCTCCATGGGCACAGTGCTAGCTCATAGTAAGTCCTTTGTTGAACAAGTTTCCCTTTCACTCTGAGCACTGGGACACCGTTATTCTTCCCACACCAGACCCTTTCCCTCCCACTCTTCTTTCCTAGCATACGGCGAGCACTTAACAAATACTGTCATGTCATTATTACCGACAACGGAGAAAACAAATACACATAAGATACATTTCAGATTAGAAACCAGGAAGTTTAAGGAAAAACATGCCCTATCTTTCCTACATACATTTGTATAAAAAAGGTTGATGTATGTTAGAATGATTAGGAATATTTCAAGAATATATGATTCATTTAGATATGATCTCAGTTTTCAGACAGAAAGTAAATCTAACACATAATCAGGGACATGGGCCTCAGAAGCCTTCCCTTCTCCACTGATTGGTAACAGACTTGTTTTTTCTTTAATCATAATTCATGGTGACTTAGCTAATTGGCAGGCACAGTACCAAATACAGAGATGCAAGAAGGCAGTGACTATCTTATGTAATCTTCACGATGCCCAGCAATCTTGAGGAGTTTTTTATCTTCAATGTTAGTAAAATACAAGTAAAATGAAGTTAGAAGATATAAAACTCATAAAAAGTCATAGAGCTAGTAAAGAAAGGACAAAGTTTGAGTTAAAACCAAGATTGGTCAAGCTATAAAACTGATTTTCTTTTGATAAAGCAATGAGCTCCTTAGCTATCTAAGATCCCTTCCAGTTCTAATATGTATAATTTCTTAAAAAACAAGGAAGTTCTTTCCTGGACATCTACCTATCCATCTCATCTAGACTGGGCCAAATCAGTCTTCTCAGTTTCTTTCTTCTTCTCTGGATATAATATGTAGTTGCCACCTTCACACATAGTAAGTCAAGTAAAAATTCTACTTCCATTTATTTTACTGCCTGAATTTGTGGTGTAGAGAGAAAAATCATTCTTAAAAAAAGCAGGCCCTTCTGCCGTGTGAAAACACAGCAAAAAGATGCCATCTATGAATCAGGAAATGGGCCCTCACCAGATTCTGACTTGACCAGAGCCCATGATCTTAGACTTTCTAGCCTCCAGAGCTAAAAAAACCATCAATGAACTTTGACTATAAACTAGAAGCCTCTAATCACTGCCTCCTGAAATTACTAGAATTTGAACAATCTTTCATTTCACCTTTCATGTGATTATGTTTGAAATATAGATAAACATTCACAGAAGTTTTATTTGTTTTTACAGTGCTGGGATTGAACCCAGGCTCATGCATGGTTAGCTCTCCCTCGACCACTAAGCTAACTGCCCAGTCCCCTGAAAGAGTATTTAGTACTTTGATCCCACTCTATCATCTCTAATAACTTATTTGGCACACTGAGATGATCTAGAAGCAAATTATTTGAGTTAAATTGTTTTTGGTTCTCAGAATGATTAGGAATATTTCAAGAATATATGATTCATTTAGATATGATCTTAGTTTTAGAAAGTAATCTAACACACAATCAGGGACATGGGCCTGATAAATTTGATGAAAGCTAACTTTCCTTTAGTTGTGACTGTTAAAATTTATCCCCAGTTAACAGTATTCCTTATTATAAAAACCCTCAGATTGTTGAAAACTTGTTCTACAGTTATGTTACTAGCAATTATCTTAACATTCTACTTGCTTTTATAGATGAAGACAAAAACATGTTTTAGAGATGACTGTGAAATGACTACTATTTGAGTTTGTTAGCATTTGCATATAAAATCTAAGTTTATTGACTAGTTATTATATTAACTAGTTTTCCTATCAAATAGTTTAGATTTTTAAGATACTAGTTTTGGAGTTATATACTTATTGAGAAAGTAAATATGTATTTTAATTTTATATAACATTGAGTTCACTCTTGCCATTAATTTATGTTAATAATTATAAAGTGACCCCTAAGTTTAAGCCTGCAATTGGCTCTACTACACCCTACTCATATCTGTGATATGGGTACTTTCATAAATGAACTCTTTTTGCATTATCCCAACTAAAAAGCTGCCAGAACCTCTACTGATATATTTTGGAAGGTTCTTCTCAGTTGTCACTATAACTATTTTATGAATGATTTAATTTGGTTTGCTTGTTCTTCTTTCTCCATAGTAATGAATCTTGCTTCTTCCAATGAAGCTCAGATAGCGTGCAAATTTTTGAAAGGAAAAGTGCATGGAATTCATTCTGTTGAAAAAATTATAACTACATTCACAATCATAAATAAGAGAGAAGTCAAAAATAAGTAAAATAAGGGCACAGCTTTATTTTGCTACAAGGCAGTAAGTACACTGTCATATCAAAAGTTCAGTGCTGGCCATCTTGCACTGAATGTTCTTAAGGCAGAAACTGACTATTGACCTCAGTCTTCGTCTCCCCCAGCTGCAAACGTAGTATCTGTGAGGCAGTTCCGAAACCATACACTTAGAAACCCTGGGGGATGTTGATGGAACTCAGAATCCCTGAATTAAAGAACAGTCAGGGGTTGAAATCAAAACAAAACATAGGACATTGACAACACAGATCTCCCAAAAAAAGAAGTGCAATGCATGCTTTTTTAAACCAACAATTACAAAAAAAAAAAAAAAAAAAAAAACCACACACACACACAACAACAACAACAACAAATGCAAAATCTCCCAAACAAGTTTTCCAATGTATTACAAAAGGAAAAAAAATGTATACATATAAAAAAATAAAACAGGTCTGAAATACTAGTGCATAGTCAATTACCTAACACCAAGTTTTTTTTTTTTTCTTTTCAACCAAGCTCTACTGCTCCTCTGACACTAGCAGCATGTCTACAGGCTAAGACCATAGCAGCAAAACACATTTTTCATTTGGCATTTACAAAATTAAATTACTGAATAAAAATATAATTTTTTATAAAACTATTTCATACAGTAATAATTTTTAAAGCAAGCTAAAAAAACTCAAAATGGTTTAGTACAATTAATGTACCTCCAATGTTATGAACCATAAATGAGCATTAACAATCTCTATTGTCTCGTGATATTTTTCAACATTTATAGTAATGCTTTTACTGATTTAAAAAAAATCTATTCATATGTTTAGTGATTGAGAAAAGAGAAATACTGGAGTACCTCTTGTGTAAAATTTCAAAAAACTCATCATAGGCAAAAATACTGATCTGTTGGATCCTCTAAAATACAGATAAATCATTTTATGCTTTTTTAAAAAAAATCTGCACAAGATAATAACAACTGGTTACAATTCATTACCTAATAATTTAGGTAAGACCGTTATTTATTTATTAAAAAAAAATCCTTTTAGTTGAGTGAAATCTAATAAGATTTCATCCAACTAAATGCGCTTATGCACTTGGTGCTGCTCTCAACTGTTGTACCACAACAAAAATAGATTCTTCACCCAATCATGAAAAGTTTCATGTCGAGGAATGACATATCCCAAGTCAACTTGAAGTGTTCTGAAAATCATAATGCTTTTCTGGAAACGTCTCACATAACCAGAGTCCGGGCTGAGAACGCGTTCACATATTTGCGAGCCTGACCGGAAGCCGTCATCTGATCCTCCATCTTTCCACAGGATGTGGGTTCCCAGGCGCTGCTACAAGGCTGAGGGGGGAAGAGGGTGACAGCAGGGTGAGACCAGGAAGCACACACAGAGAGTCCAAAAGGGATTCACAATCCCAGAAGGGCCAGCTGCCACATTTTGGATGCCAAAGGCAAGTGGTTGACACCAGGAAGCCTTTGTGGACAGATTTCAACTCCTTGACATCCAGAAATCCAGCATCCTTAAGTGACATTAATGGTCAGAACTGCTCACTCCTAGGAAGGAAACCCCACTCCAACTGATTTCATAAGATGGGGCCACAGCTTCATACTGGAATGCCTTGAGGCTGGAGACAAGAACAAGCATAATTCTCCAGACATTGCCTGGGCATTTACTCACTAAGCAAACTGGTGAGTGCTGGGGCCATGAAGCTCATGTAGGTGAAGGAATTGATCAACATCTGCTAAGCATCTGCTACTATATCTTTTCATAATTAATTTAGAAATATCTGTTTCACAGTATAGCTTAATTTTTATTTAATTTTTTGCGTGTTGGGGATCAAACCCAGGGCCTCACCCACATGCTAGGCAAGTGTTCTACCACTGAGCTACACCCTCAACCCTCAGTACGGCTTAATTTTTTAAAGACACACTCCATGTTGCCCCAAAGTAAAGTCTTTAGTATTTAGGAAAGTATTTATGTCCCACTTAGTTCCCAAAGGGATTTAATACGGTTACAAAATAAATACAACAGGGCTATAAAAGTGCAGAAAGCAAGATCACAGGGAATCAACATGCATAAAATAAATAATATGAAACAGGGCAAGATTTGTACACAAAACGTCACCAAATGCAGTGCCCCAGAGAGATGTAGGCTACCAGTTTGAACCTGGGCTCTACAGCAGTCAGTGCAGAGGGAAACAAACATAAGCAGGTGTAAGATTTGGTACCTTAAAGTCAAAAGAAGCCAGTGGCTCAGGAAAAAGCACTACTCCTAATCTAAAAGGAATTATCTTCCAAGGGACAAAAGAAGAAAAAGAAAGCCTTTGCTTTCCAGAACCTAAAGTGTCCTTAAAGAGAACAAATGCAAAGGTATTTCTCAACAGGTGGAACCAACTAGGGAGCGGGGGATGTGGTGCAGGTGAACAGAGGATGGAAGATGGAGGGAGTGCTGGGGCACTGCTGTAGGGGAAGGGCAAGAACAGGCACAGTCAAGATAGACAGGTGGAAAAACAGGAGTGTAATCCTTGTGGAGAGAGAGCAAGAAAGAGGCAGGAATCTGCAATCTGTGCACTGTTGGTGGGGAGTATGGGGGAGCAGGGGAGAGAAAGGGATACAGTGGTTAAATGATGGCATTCTACTCTGTGCTGCCAACTCATCTTAGAGTTTCAAAAGCCCTTACTCTATGCTGCCAACTCATCTTACAGTTTCACAAGTCTCATCACATTTAACTCTCACAAAACAAACAAACAAACAAACCACCTGTGGTTTGTGAATTTGACCTTGGGTGGGATTCAGGAGCTCATACCCCTAATGAGTGCAAGATGCTGCTTCCAGGAGAGCTCTCATCAGGAAGAATGCAAGTGTCTTGATAGGCAATTTGGAGACTCAGTCACCAGGGATTTGGGATCCAGGAGGAAGTATGGAGGTGGGGTGTGAGGGTCATCAGACTTTTTAGCAAAGAGGTCTGATAATTTTGATTGAACAATGTACTGGTATAGTAGTGACCAGACATGAACAAAGTTCCAGTGGTATAAGATCTGCAGTGTCATATTCTTCTTTAGGACTAAGAAACTCAGGAAGTTTCTTAGTCCTTCCTGAGTTTCTTAGCTGTGCCATTTTCCCACCAATGTAAATAGCACAGTTGAGTACACATGTTTACTTTGAAAGCTCAGTAGCTCCATATGTAACTTGAAACACTGCATAGCAAAATGGATTATCCTAGTATTCCCAGGAACTGTGGATCACAAAAATGACAAGATAAAGATGATAGATAGGTATTCTGGGTTGATTCTCACACGGAGTCATATTTACTATTTTCCTGAACAAAATCACCATGGTAGTTACAGCATTCTTTGAATCAGTTCTGAGTAAATGATGTTTCCCTAGACTTGAGCATGTGGATTAAATACACATGTTTTTCTGGTATATATCTATCCATTCAAATTATACATTTTAGTTTTATTGATTGCTTATATGTTATTGCTAAAATTTTCTAACTGGAACACTAAATTGACACATGTGATTGATTTTAAAAAATAAAATGTAATCTTATCTTTTTAAATTATTGAGCAGTCATTGTGGCAAAATGGGATATGCAGGTGCTACCTGTGAGGTCAAAGGTCAGTATGGTTTATCTACCACTAAGTTATTTAGGGCTGTTCTTAGAAGCAATGCATAGATAGATGCACACATCAACGAGCATGGATATTGGGGGTGTGGTAAGGGGTACTGGGGTTTGAACACAGGGGTGCTTAACCACTGAGCCACATCCCCAGCCCTTTTTATTTTATTTTGAGTATTAGGGTCTCACTAAGTTGCTTAGAGCTTCAAACTTGCAATCCTCCTGTCTCAGCTTCCAGACTCACTGGTATTACAGGCATGCCCCACCATGCCTGGCCAGAGGACAGATATTAAAATAAGCGACAAATAAGGAAGCAGAATGAATATCTTCATATACTAATATTTTATACGTATATTTAAAATTTACAAAGAAATCTATGCAAGAAAATACATATATTGAAGCAAATGAAGGGATAACAAGAAGGAAAGTGAGAACAGGTAAAGAATTGAACAGCAAACAAGAGGATTATTTCTGTTTTTCTGTGATTAAGAATATTTCTACTTAGCCGGGCTTCAATTAATATAAAATGCATTTTCCAAATGTGTAAATTAAAGTATCTTAAAATAATCGTATTTGCTTTTCCTACACCTCCTGGTAAAGGTCAAGTTCCGATCCTTGTCTCATCATATTCAGGTTGACTCAGAACTCCCAGTCTGTTCAGGAGAATCTAACACTAAGGATTTTCAACATACTACATTTCCAACTTCATATATTTTCAATTTGACATGTGACTGGGATTTTTGACAGATTCCCCACATGGCTCATCACTTGATTCATATGTGGTTCTTCCTCCAGGACTAGATATGTAAAATGACATTGATATAAAGAAGGTGCCGTATATTTTTAATTAGTGTTTGGAGAGAACTTTTAAATAATCAGCTTCTCTTAAGACAAAAGAGAATGTACTAAGAAACTAATGAAAATGACTGAAATATTCTAATTCCTTGGACATATAACCCTGATGCTTAGAGCCTGGGATGGGCCAGGAACACCTGATTCTCCCAGGATAGACAAATACTGGGATGTATTAGCCACTGTGTACAGTAACAAAAAAAGCCAGCAAGGTGAGCCAGGAATCCCCCTTTCTATACTGAGAGCACAAAGCAAGAACAGCTTTCAACAATGAACATGACAACACTGGTCAGAACAGACACATACTGATGGTGTAATCACAAAGATCAGAAGGTTGAGCACTCAGGTAAAAAAGAATGGCTCTCTTTCTCCCTTCCTACCTTAAACCCAGGGCCCTACACCAACTTTTAAACAGAATAGCTTTGAAAAATATCAAATGACCTTGTGCTAGAAGAATATTTTTTAATACTGTCATATATATCTTTGTGCATCCTCCTTATTCCCTCTACCTAAATTTTAGTTTTGTTTACATGAGGGAACTGATAAGCATTACAGATGTCTGCCTCTGAATTCTTGTTCCATTACTAACCCATGGTGCTATTTCAGACATGTCACACCATCCTAATTCATTTCAACATTAATAATCCTACCCACACATCCTCCTCCCATTGCTGAGGAGTCACCTTGCTTATCCTGCAATGTGCCTTTCATTGCCCCTGGGCAGAAATGAACTATAAACAGTCTGTCAAAGCTTTAACTGGGATATCCTGTTGAAGCACTTTGAATAAATACCCAGATCCTTCCTAGAAAACAGAAGAAGTGAAATGAGAAAAGACCATGTCCACAGGTGGTTTTCTGTCAGAATTAGATTATTTTCACAATTTCATTTAGAATCTGAGGTATTTTTCATCACACTGAACACCTGCTATTATGATCATATTTAGATAGCAGCTTCACACAACATTTACTGATGTCAAGAACCTGTGTTTTACAATTTGAAGACTTCATAAGAAATTCTTACAAACCTAAAAAATATTCTGGAATATCAAACTGGTGAGATGGTATTATGCTTTTATTTTGTTTTGTTTTATAATAGTAAGCCAGTATAAATGGTGTATGAAAGAATAAGAAGTAAGAATTTTTTGATTATACTATTTAGCTTATCTGAAGAAAGCCCTTATACTGGACAAAAATTCCAAAGATCCAGATTCCTTGCCAGAGGGACATCTTTTTACAATGTATTAGTTGTAAGAGGTAATATTGAAATCTTTGGTGATATCTTGAAGTCAGATCCCTGACTTTACACTTCAGCAGAAGTGTTGCTAAGGTAGGGCCAATGGATATTAAACTTTCCTTTGTATATTTCCCTATGTCATTTGCCAGTAAATGGATGGAACTGGAGAATATCATGCTAAGTGAAATAAGCCAGTCCCAAGAAAACTAAAGGCCGAATGTTCTCTCTGACATGTGGATGCTAATCCACAACAAGGGAAGGTGGGGAGGGGAAGAATAGAACTCCATTTGATTGGAAAAGGGGAAAGGAAGGTAAGGGAGGAAGGATGGAAATAAGAAAGATATAGAATAAATCAGACATAACTTTCTTATGTTCATATATGAATATATTACCAGTATAATTCCACATCATGTACAACCATAAGAATGGGATCCTAATTAGAATAAGGTATAATATATATATATATAGTATGTCAAAATACACTCTACTGTCATGTATATTTAAAAAGAAGAAAAAAAAAAGGACCTCAGGTGCTTAACAACATATTTACCTATTCCAAACAAAGCAATTAAATGTCTCCAACTTCAGAGTTGCTGATTTTTCACAGGAAAGAATCTTAAAATTTAGGTGATT